GAGAATGTTATTAAATATTATTGAAAAAATTGTCCATATGTATACGGAAATACACGGACGAGTATTTCGAAAATGTGTTTCTCTAAAAATGCCCGTCCCCACCCGTCCCCTCCCGTGAACAAAGATGAGAAACCGAAACAGCTTAAAAGGTATTCTCCAAAATGGATATTACCCAATCGATCTGCCTGCACTCAAGGACCTGAGAATCTGAAACGTATCATTTACATTTTTCTAGGAAAAGACGCCACAATGACGTTTTTACTATTTCCACAAGAATTGCTTATTTTTTTAAGTTTCTTCTCGAAAACTGTAAGTGATGGAAATAAAATTAAACAGGCCATACTATCTTTAAACACATTAATTTGCAAAGTTCAAAATGTTTAACTGTTTTTGCACACCCTTCTACAACTACATTATAGAAGATATAGCTTTGTACTTTATTAAAATACCTTCTTAAGTGTTGTATATTTGTTTAATATTGTGTACATTTTTTTTTTAATTTCAGTATATTTCGCATAATTTTCATTGAAATCTACGTAACTTCGAACAAAATACCCAAACACAATTTTCTCAAAAAACAGCTTTCATATTTTTTATTAAATTTTGTGTATGAATTTTCTTTTTACAATATTTTGTTGGCTCTCCCAAATACATTAAATTATAAATTTCATCTTTAATATAATATTAATGTTGACATATTAGTCAACCACCTCTATGTTTTTAACTGCTGCTTAATTGTGAAAAAGTCAAGGGATTTATGAAAAGTAAAGACCGACAGACATTTTCAATAAAAAAACTCTTTCGGTACCAAGGGGCATCAAACAGTGTATTTACTTAAAAGTTTCGACATCTATTTTTTGAAGCAATACTTAAATTTCTCAACAACACTTAATCAAGAAAGTAGAAAAAAATAATTGGGTTGTTGCTATTAGAGACGGCAAAAAACCAAAAGAACACGGAGATTGGCGTCTCACTATGGATTCCGATGGAAATACCGGTTGGAGTTCTGGCAGAGGCGGACTTTGAAACTAACTAGATCGGTAGGCCGAATTCATCCGCAGTTGTCTGGAGTAGAATTCGAACGTCCAACTGCTCTGATCGATAGTTTTCCATGGTTCTGAGATCAATAGCATGCAAATGTGGTAGCAGTGCCCTAACAAATGGGCCACGAATCATATGAGATACTGCTTCATCTTTGACCCCTCTTCTTGCTCAGAAACTCACACTTACTTACCTTTCAGTATCACCCGTGGCGGAAGAGCAGTCGGGAGCTTCGAACTTCTCACAGCAGAGGCAATACCCCATTGGCGATGATACCTGGAATGGGAAGGCCTAGTAAGACAACATGCACGTCCGAATCTCATGTTTTATTGGTGGAAGGCAACCAACAACTCCCGCGACAAAAGATTGGCTGCCACAACTGGCTGTCATTGTGCTTTTAAAGAGAAATTAAATAGTATTTTGAAGGTATTAAGATTTTCAGAGAAAAACTTCTATGTTAAATGAAATTTTAATTTACAATTAATTGTGTATTGAAAATTTTGAAATAAACTCCTTGGATGAAATTATTGAAATTTGTTTGAGATAAACTCCTGGGATGAAATTATTGAAAATATTCTAGAGTACCAGTGATTCGTCTTTGGAAAAAAAACTCAATTCGTCTTTGGAACTCAAAAAGTAAATTGAAATTTATAATTGAAATTCACCATTGTATAACCACGAGCATTGAAGAATAAAGAATGAAAATCGATTCACGGAGTTGTTCAATGTGGTTAGAGAAACAAGGCACAACCAATTGTTTCTCTAACCACATTGACCAATCCCGTGAACCGATTTTAATTGTTAATTGAAATTCAGTTATAAGCTTCTGACGTGAGTTTCACAGATTTGTATATACGATCCCGTGAAACGTTAAGACATTTTCTTCGACGTAGTCGTGAAATGAGGACCTTGGATATTGTAGTAATTTAATAAGTAATTTAATGTAAGTAATGTAATCATTTATATATTAATTATAATGATAGTAATATGGGTAATTCAATCAAGAAATGTTGCCTTATTTGATGGGGCGAGTCTCAGGTCATGAGGTCTGTTACGACCGACCACGCAAATTTCGCTTCGCACCTTTCGCCATCTCGTAGAGAAAGAAGATATTACTCGGACGAGAAACAGGCGAATGTAATTTTGCTCAGAGGCTTATTTAAAGTTTACGAGTCTTTCATGTGCAGTAAATCTACAACTTCGGACAGCCGACTTTACTTTCTCTCCGAAGGAAGACGTATGAAGGATGTTTTCCACCTTAAAAATCCATCGGGTTTTAACCCGCGAATGTGGTCTCGATACGTAACATCACCGAAGGCGCAACGGATAGAATTGGATATTTGTGAGCAATGGTGAAGCAATGTTCAGCGGTAGCAGGGATCGCTGATGTCACACCACCCCCACCCACAAATCTAACCAAGCTGAAATCGTTTTTTTTTGTCTGTAGGAGAATTATATAAATCCGGTTTCGGCCTATTCACTGTTCCACCCCCATCAGTTGGATAAAAATAACGATACGTGGCTTCTTTACTAAATATGTAGCATATATTTCCCCATCTATTGCACCAAGTAAATCATGTGCTCCAGACGATGAATGTGAAGCTGCGGAGACCGGCACAATAGTTTCTACGATTCCAGCTACGGTACATAAGGTAAAACTGAGGAAATCGCTTTCTCAGCAGTTTTCATTTCAAATGGAGTATTTATTTACCATTTCATCTGTAAGTCTAATGAAACAGGCGAGTGTGTAGTAGGGACAAGAAAACCGGGATAACGTCTCATCCCCCAGTCCCAGGTCCGATATTCAAGGCTAAAGCGAAACATTTTACGATTTTTGTTCTGTTTCAAGGAGGGTGTCACTTCTTAAACATTTCTTGGAACGATACTATTAAACGTTAATCCTGAGATGGGCACCAAGATTGAGTTCAAAAGCTTCCAATCTTCGGAATTGGTGCGACAAGTACTACGGTCACGTATCCATGCAAACATCGTGGCAAAAGGATTATTTTCTAACCCCTCACTCGCAAAATGATCGGAATATTTAATGACAAATTGAACGTTGAAAGAAATAGTCTGCGAGGAAATAAAAAGTTACATAAATTATTGGCTATACATAAAACATGCTTAGAAAATAAAACTACGTACTTCATTGACAGAATTATTATAATCATGCTGAATAAATAATTATTTAAATATTTTAAAAACATTTGATATTCACGTTTTCTAGGTTCCTACTCCTCTTGCCTATTTCGTATATTGATGCAATATAATGTTCTCACGAGTCTCATATTTCCCGCCATATCATGCAGGAATGCAATTGCCCGTGGTCTCGTTGTGTGCATCAGCGCCATCTGCTAGCCCTTATACACACTATCACGCGACAGAGCGCAGCACATGCGAAGCGATGAGACGCTACCAGTGGAGGGAAGTCGCAAGCCAGTGAAAACCAGATTCCCACTTCTCAAAACAGTAGAGTAGACTCGCAAATATCCGAGATATAATCCGGAGTTAATTTGGTAAAGGATAAATAAAAAATGTTTTGTTCTCATTACATTAAACTTAAAAATTATTAACAAATAAAAATATAAAATTAGTTACAATGTCAAAAATTAAATTTTAAATACACTAAAGTATTAAACAATTGTCTACAAAATTCATTAAAACAGTTTTAAAAACGAATTTAAAATATACCCCATTATTCAGTAAAGCAGCCTTCCTTCCGTGAAATTCCCACTTCATAACATACCCATATCTCTAGCGTCCGTGGCATGCTTCCTTCCCGCCTCTGCCATGTGCTGCCACATACCATTGCCTATAGGAAACGTGTCAGGAATGTGCATTTCACGCAATCTCCGTGCTTCGATTGCGGAGACCGCGAGGTGTAAAGTGTGTTGCAGCTTTGCCGTGAGCATATTTCCAGCCTGTTTTGTGTACAATCGACATTTTTTCAGTTTTGAAGTATGTACATAGGCATGCAAATAGATATCTTTATTTTATCACGTAGTTGGGTTCACAAGTAATATTATAATAGATGTTCTTTGCTATAACCGGTTAACCTATTGGGCTAAATATGATAATTGCTTTTATATGTTGTAAGAATAGTTCCCAGGTCCCTTTTCATGGCATTTTATAAAGTGATATTTATCAAATTATGGAGATCGATTAGATAGTCTTTGTAATGTGATTTCAGATATTTTAATTCACGATACCCATCATGTTTATTTTCGCTCACTTTCTGGGTACTTGTGTGTACACATTCTCGCTTTAGGAATTTGTGTAATTTTAAAGATGTGGAATTTGTAGATGTTTTATATTCCGTACCTGGTGAGAGTGAAACAGAAGAGGGTGAAGAAGTCCTTGAAGAACTGAGTGCACTAGACGATAGTTTAAGGCGCAAATAAAATGGTTTGCCACTTGATGTTGTGATAAATAATTGCCACTGGCCATGAATCTCATCCGCTGTTGCCTTTCAATAATTATAGTGCAGGTATGTACAGGTCTGATTTCCGTAGAACTTTCTAAATTTTTGATAATTAAGAAAAGGAACAATGGGATGTAACAATTACGAAATAGTGGGATTATAATGGGATGGAATGGGTTGTCACCACTAGTATTTCCAATACATCAGCTTTACTTAGTATAGAAGAAACATATGCATTCGAATCGACTGCAAAATTTGTAGTCGTCATTTCAGTCGTAAAACAATTTTAAGTGTTTGACAGGAAAAAAACAGTTTTTAGCATGGCTGTCTGATGTGTGAGTCTCGCTAACTTGAATAGATTAGGAGCTTTTGAGCTGACTGTAATAAAATAATGAAGACGAGGAAGACGAAAAAGAACAGGAAGAGGAAAAAGACGAAAAAAGAGGAAGAGGAAAAAGAAGAAGAGAAATAATACGAAGACCAAATTAAAGAGGAAGAAGATCAAATTGAAGAGAAAGAAGATGTTTAAGAAGACCAAATGCAAAAGGAAGAGGTAGGAGAAGACGAAGAGGGAGATGAGTACGTACAGGATGATAATATAGTAGAAGACGAGGAATTACAGCAAGAAGTGGAGCAAGTAGTGGAAGAACCTGAAAAGAAGTAAAGATGAAAAGGAGAAAAAAGAAAAAAAGATAATCGCCATATCGCAATAAAAACTTCCAAGTGTGTGAAGCAAGATGGCACTCAGTGAAGATGCTGTGGGGCAGCCAGCGTCAAATGGCCTGAGCAGCGACCGCCTTCTGTGCGGACAGCGTGACTCAGGCCTCGCCGCACACGGAAAGAGAGAGAGAGAGAGAGAGAGAGAGAGAGAGAGAGAAAGAGAGAGAAAGAGAGAGAAAGAGAGAGAAAGAGAGAGAAAGAGAGAGAGAGAGAGAGCGGGCGTCGGGATGCCCGACCCGCGTCGGACGTGACGAGGCCGGCGCAGGTCATGCCATTCTTATTGACAACACCTGCATCGTGCTCAGGGAAGACCGTTGGGGACCGAGAACGATAAAAGAGGCCATAGAAATAATTAAACATCCTCAAAATGAATTGATTACGTCAAAGGGATTGTTCTCCACGGCATCTGAAAACATCTACTAAACCGCGACGCCTGGTCGCGTCAGAGTACGGTTCTCGCTGTTCAATGTCCGACCACGAGCGATGCCCTTCCTCCTCCCACGCTCAGGGGGATCGTTGGCTGACTGTCCGATGCTTTCTCCACATTACCCGTTCGTCCGACCAACCGGCAGACACCTCATCAGTACTGTAATTAATGGTATGGTCCCTGATTCATAGAACTTTCTCCGCTCTGACACACTCAACTATACCCTGAGGGTTCGCGTCTAGTCGCACGCTTCAGGCCCCGAAATGACACATTCAAACCTTCTCAGGCGAGTCCGATGCGGAGCACGTAATGGCATTTAACCCCGAACCGGGATGTCGGTGTGCCTCAGGCACCTCCCCCCAACTCAGAGCAGACGACCACTTTTATAAGGACGACTCCTCCCCCGGAGAGGCAGCCCCAAGTCGCAGTCGAGTTCACGCAGTTCGGTGCCGCCCGGCGGCGACATCATCAGCCAGAACCGAAGCGACCAGCAGTCGGAGGTTGCATTCGTGCGTCATCGAAACGGTGATCGGCGTCACGGCGCCACTCGTCGAGCGAACCGAAGCAGCCCTGGAGGCATCCGTGCCAAGCTACTGAGTCTCGCCCATTAACCCCGCCTACCACCTCCCGTCAGCCCGCTGCCCCAGTGTTTGCATTCACCAGAGTGCTGGGTTGTACCACTGTAAATCCTGTAAGTAGCTTGTGACTTCGTAATGGAAATAAATAAGAATTATAAAAATGGCCTAGCCTTGTAAAATTTAGAATGCTCCCTCCTGTGTCTTCCGTTGTGACAATACAGATAAATAAATCTGGAGTGTCTGTTTGTGTTTTTCAAATTTTGAGTTTTTAAATACTTTGTTCCACTTGCTTATTCGATTATTAAAAAGAGTATCTCATCAAATCTATTGTTGTCTGTCTGTCTGTTGGCCGACTGTACAAACGCATAATCTACTTTATCTTTCAGCATGAAATTTGAACACATTATAGACACTACCAATGGACTAGCTAAAGTTTCTGTTTTACCGAGATATCCCCAACGGTTCTGAAGATGATTCTTTTGTTTGACTCCCCCCCCCCGCTTAGTACTGCTCTACTTCGTGCTCCTGTTACAAAATGTTACATAAAAGTGAGAGCATATGTAAATGCTTCTAGAATCTTAGAACTTCTGGAATGATTGCCCCCACATTTGGCATGAATACTTTTGAGCCGTTTTTATCTCGCAGCATTACATATGTTTTTCTCTACTGCATAAGTGTTACACAGGTATTAAAAATACGATCATTAAAAAGATCACTTATAATTTTTAAAAATGGGTTTTTTGCGGAGTTTCTAATTGAAATGAATCCAGATTTTAAGAAATATTTCTCAAAAATCACTACAAATTTCGTCTTAATTTTTTGCTACAGAGAGATCAAGAAACTCTTCAAAGAATGGTAGAGGTCTCATTTTCGTTGAACTGAATTTCTGAAAATTGCAAATTTTGAAATATTTTTTAGATATAAAGCGAGAAAATAAGATCGTTGTGAGTCTACCAGCTATATTTATATTTTACATGGGAATAAAACATATTGTACACTGTTTTCAATTACAAGTTTAAATTAAATGTGAGGAAAAATATCATTAGCATTATGGTGCATTATTCAGCCTTTTTTGTTTGAAATGACAAGCAATGATGGAAAGGATTTCTACGAGGATTTGTCATTTCAGTGATGAAAACAGACATTCCATCAAGGTAACTATATTGTTTATTTCAGAAACGACCTACACAAGTATATAAAAGCGGATAAAAATTATAGTGCCTTGTAAATGTCTATTTGACATATTTACACGCCTATTTTATATTTTTAATGTCTATTTTGCCTGCCTATTTCTATATTTGTTTCATGCCGCAGCATATACGTACACATATAAATCCGCAGATATACGTACTTAGATTTATTTAACAGTGCATTTGAATTACACCAGCTGTGACTTAGTGACTTAGTGACGTCCCTGTAGAGACATATAAGCTCCTGATTGGATGAAACCGTCAACAGCTGACATATGCCAGACACACAACTAAATAAATCGTACCATAGTAATGAGAAACTTTCAATTGAGACTCAAATATCTGGGGAGTCGCTCTGTAGCCCGATCGTTACTTCCCAATAAAAACACATTGAAATATGAAACAATCACACTAAGTGCCACCAGTTTATACGTTAGCCTCAACAGATTGGTCTAATTTGACACACACATTTTTAAAGAATTAATGACTTAGGTTATTTTAATTTCATACACGCCTTGAGAAACAAAATGCACAAGTTCAATATTTCTTTCTCTCCTTACTATTTACGTAGATTAATCACAATTTTTCACCAAAGTTGGTATTTTCTAATTAATCCTAACGAACTTGTACTGCGAGTTTAAAACGGATATTATGATTATAGAGGTATTTTCCATAAAGCTACATCAATATTTTCAAAATGTGTTTAATAATAGCTACATTTATTTAAATTAAAGTTTTTTCTCAAATAGAGCAAAAAAGACTTAAGAAAACGGCGGTTTTGAATAAACGTTTTTCTCCCATAGCGTCTCTAAACGTTTAAAAAGACTCAAATAAAGTATTCGCGTATATCATAGAACTGTAAAAGAAATGGTTATAAACTCTTTGTATGTTTCGAAAATTGCAAAAAAGTGATCATTTCAAAACTAACATAAATTTGAAGATAGCAATGTTTGTCTTAAACTACATCTATTCTAAAAACTCAGCTCTTTAAAAAATAGTGTAAATTTTGTTGATAACTCAAGAACTTTTTGCGTAATTTCGGCTTCAAACTAATACTTGCAATTTATACAAACCATTTTCTTAGAAACCGTTACAGATTTATTCTTCAATTGTTTTCCACGGAGAGAACAAGGAACGCGTGAAAGAATGACCCGTGCCAATCTTTCCGCTGAACTCTCTGAAGTTTTGAAAATTACAAATTTAGAATTTATGCGAGAAAGTATGAGCTCGGTTTGTCGAAAACTACTCGTTTTTTCCAAAACATGTGCATGATATTTTTTTTAAGTGCTCGCCTTTTAGAATTCATTTAGTATTTACTAGGCTGTCCGGGTGACGCCGCGTCCATGGCGAAGGTGTCGAAGTTTCGGTCGCCATTCTGCGACCTTCCTCAGGGCGTAATTTACACGAAGCAAATTACTCAAGCAAATTTACATGAAAATTAATCATATTTCGGAAAAATTGTACACAACCTTATCTAATGATCGAAAGAACGAATTTTATTAAGAAAAAAATCGCTATTTTCAACTTGGTAGTAGCAGAAAGACGCCGAAATAAATTTTAAACTTCTGCGATTTTCGAAAAATTGAAAATTTCATTGAAAATTAGATCTGCACCACTCTTTTAAGCGTTCTTTAGATTTATACGACGACAAGGTTTAATCTAAAAATTTGAAGCCATTTTTATAAACAAAATGGAAAATGTTAAGGTGTCTTTAAAAGCTCTTTAAAAAAATCAAAATATCTGTTATGTAAATGACTCATTAATCAAGGCGTCATTTATCAATTCAAGTGGGGAATATCGATTTTGGAAACAGTCGGTTGAAAGGCTCTGGTGTTGTTCACAGACGGACTGACAAGTTTTGTCGTCAGTCGATATTTTTAGGTAAAGGACGCACAGACCATGCACGTTTTTACACTCTGACAACACAATGTGTTAGAGGAAGTAATTTACTACTTCCTATGAACAAGATTAATCCACGTTTCCGTCACTAGGCCTGGCAATACGAGTTTTCCTGTTGCAAAATGGCTATTTTTTCCGCATTATAATACTTTTTCTAGTACTTCGCAGAACGCGTGATAGTACGTGAAAGGAGATCGCCAAAAATTTCTCTCTGATCAAAGTTTGTTACTTTCCTGCTACAGTTTACGGAGTAGAGAGAAAGTATTGTAATGCTGCGCAAAAAACGCAACTTTTCGGCAGAAAACTCTTATTACCGGGCCCTAGAATAAAAAAAGTAGACAAATCCACAACATTCGAGATTTAATTTTACGTTTACAAATTAATTTTTAGAGATAATTTAAAATCTATTTGATAATCCATCTTTTTGTTAAAGAGTTGAGAGGAATGTATTTGCATTCTGAATGTATTGGTGTATGTTCTTTCATGTAATCCGCAAACCTTAATTAAAATTATCCCAATTTTTTCTCTCTTAAAAATATGATTTAATGTAATATGGAAGGAAAAATTGCTGGCCTTCATGGAATATTAGATTGGAATGCAACAGTGGCATTCAACGCCGCGAGACGGCAGCTAATATTCTGTGATTATAGGTCTCATTTTTGGGACATGATTTAGCTGCATGAAAAGGAATTATAATTGTCAAATTTGAGTTAATATTTGCTTGAAAATATTTCGTTTTCGCACCAAATGTCCTACAATTTGTAATGAGTTTTACAAAAAATGATGACTAAGATGTGCTAATTCGGAGAGAAATTTTAGTATAAATAGTATTATTACATTGCCATTATTAAGGACGAGAAAGTACGTACTGTTTTAGCACAACTGGTTCTATCCTGTTTGAATGTAAATAAAGGAAGCATCCATAATACTCCAAGTTAAAATGACCAATTAATTCCACTGGGCGATGGGGACACAAATCAGAATGGTGAAAAATTGGTTGTCACCGGGTTCATACCAAATGAAGTACACGGTTGTTGATTCAAGCATTTATTTCATGTTCTCGACAGACGGATTATCATCTCCAAGTAGGCCCATCATAATTGGGGGTGAATTCTGGCAGACGACACTTATCAAAGTTTTTCAGAAGGAGTTGCGCCCGGAAACTACCTTCCTACGTCTAGCATCGACAGACAAACACTTCAAAACCGGAAGTGCAGCAGTAAACTCGAGTTTAAATTTCAAATAAATGTGAACGTAAGATAACAGTTGTTTGAGATAAGAACAAAATATTGATATCACGATGACACGAACAGAAGGAATGAGTTTCAATTGCTCTTGAAAACGTGCGAATATCAATTTCGAACTTTGAATGCGCTAACTTACAAGAAATCTTTCATTTAATCAACAGTATAAAATCAAATGCCAGTACAATTCATATAATTTTATATTGCTTGTATACCTTCTCCAAATGCGACAGTGACCGTGACCTCGGTCATATGTAATCCGACGTCAGGAGCGAAAGTACACAACGCGTTCCACTTCAAAACAAAACATCGTTTGAAAAATTCTGCTTCATCACGGGAGATGATCAGAGTGTTGTCAAGGCCAGCCCCACTCCGTTATATAAGATTGCCAGCACAGGCACCGTGTTTAGTCTCCTCGAAACAGCACAGCGGTAAGTTTCTACCAAAGATTTTGATCTCGTTGTTGTTATAGGTTCTGATTTTAAGTAATAATAATAATAATAATAATAATAATAATAATAATAATAATAATAATAATAATAATAATAAGGTCTTTGATTAAATGGCGAGCTCAGCCAATAGGGCCTGCTCTTATTCCGCCTAACTCATGCTGAACTTACATACATTTAGTAATTAGTAACATTTTAAGAGGGGAGACAATGCTGTAACATTACTCTGCGAGAACAAACTAGGCGACATCTCGCGCATACGCCTTAAGCATTGAGTTAAACCCAGAAGAAAGCCTCAATCAGGATCGCCAGCTTAGGCCGAACATTAATAGACTGAGTAGTTATACTGATTAATGAAAGGAAGGTTTCGAAAAGAGAAAAGAAAAGAGCGTAACAGGGAAGCGGTCTAAAAATGTTAATATGATAAATTTGTGACGAAGGGAGAGAAAAAGTCGAAGATAAAAGACGAAGACGAAGTATCGAAAAAGTTATTTGGAGGAATCGTTATATAGAAAAGCTACGTTTTAGTTTACAGTTATTCACGTTACAATAAATATACTACATAATTTTTTACACCAGAGTAAGAACAATTTTACACTATAAGTCTAATATCAACAGTAATTTAAACGACGAATACTGCAGTAATAAGGAACGATAATATCATAAGAGTCGTGGGTAATCTAACAAGTGTCTTTATTGTGTTATGCAATATATTGTTAATGAATACTCTCTGATATGTATCTATATATATATCTATAAGTATATTTTATCTGAAACCGTCATTAAATTTTTGTATATTTTATTAACAAGTTTATATGGACACAGAAAAAAATAATAATGGCTCATAATTTAGGTAGTGAGAGGAATGGAAGCATGAGGGTAGAGCAATAGGTATGGTAGAATATTGAGAATAAAGAGGAAATAGCAAGGGTGTTTAACGGGGGCGGCGACCGGCGCTGAGTGGAGAAGTCTGGAGATGAAAGAGACGGTAACGCCTTCTATATGCCGTTATTCCTTAACCATGTGGCTTAATTCACGCTTTGAATTGCCGAAAGCTTATTTAATGTTTAGTCTCGATTGAATTTATTTCCAGGCTTCCGGATACTGTAATGTGTGAATGATTACCTGAATATGAAGTCGTGTTGTGACGTGGTACACAAAGCAGGGCTGATTCACGAGCTCGATTTACTTTCAGAAGATTGAAGTTACTTATGAGGCGTGTTGCATGAGAACCGGTTAAAACTTCATAAAGAAGAAGTAAAGAGTGGAGTAACCGTCTTTTGTCTAGAGTGAGCATACGAATTCTGTCAAAAAATTCAGATACATGGTCGTATTTTCTTAGATCAAAAATAAAACGTGCGCATGCGTTCTGGGCTACTTGAAGTTTACGTTGTAATTTGAATGTCATGTTGGTCAGAAGAAAGTCGATTTGATGAGAGTCTCACGTGTGCTACTTGGTAAAAGTGCTCGCAGGCGTTTCAGTGAGTGCATTGAACCAAATCTTTACGGCAGGTTGAATCAAGCAAGTATGGCTCTATTTCGCAGGAGTACACAAAATCAAAGTGCCTTCTCCATTAGAAACAGAAAATTATTTATATTTGCGAATGTTTTTTATAAAAATTGTAACTGTACGATATCACTTTTATCTATGCATGTTGTAAAAATAAATTAATTTTTATCTAAGGAAAGTAGCATCCGTGCTTTTGCCTCCAAATTAACAAACATTCTAAACATAATTTTTCCCACATACATTAATTGACCACAATTTGCTGTTCATTATGCAACATGTGCGGAATTCATTCAAACTCAAGTCAGCACACGTGCAGCTCGTACTACGTTTTGGGAATCAACATTTCCGCCTCAGAAATGACGTAATAGTCTGAAGAAACCCTACAGTACCAATACTTGGGGTAACAAAACGAATTGTATGCATAATAAGTTAATTCCACCTATGTGATAACTGAAGGGCTCTCAGCCCAAACGGTAAGCTGGGAATCCTAGTTTGCCTTGTCTGTTAACGAATGTGGTTTTTGTCAATACGTATTTCAAGATGGGAACATATTCCCATGCAATACGTATATTTAAAATTACAACATGCGATATAGAAATCATTTATTGTAAGTCAGTAGTCGCTACAAGAAATCAACAATTAAAATATTTCTATTATTTAAGCAACATATAGCTTAACATTATAAAAGAAATTTAATTTACACGTTCAAATACCAAGTAAAATATTTTCAGCCGTACAATTGTTTATATGCGATTAAGTGACACAACTGACTTTTGTTAATATGTATATATTAACAAAAAATAGTTTAGCAATGATATAATTGAGGAGCTCCAGTGGGAAATCACGTAAGTCCAAAGTCGTAATTTTGCAGGAGAATAAAAAAAACTGTTCATAAACCTTTGTTTGACAAATGTATTAGTTTAAACATTATTACATGTCACTGAAAAAATGATAGTAATGATAAAAAACTTTAACAAATGTTTGAAACAAATTAAATTAATGTCAAATATCGCGGTAAAAATCTTTATATTTTCATCTCGGACGATTCTATGCCATTTAACCTAATTGCTCGTATTCGTGATATGAACCTATTGAATATTGTATCGATTATGAAAAAGGAATCATCCAAAAATAAAAGCGCCGTAAATATAGTAGCGGCAGCGTATAAGCGACTCTGATAGTTCTCTTGCCACGTGCTGAGGTACGTCATGTGACCTGCTCTGAAACAATCAGCTCGCGAGTATTTGTTTACGTTCTTTCAGCGAGGGTTCACTGTTGTCGTTCATCTCACACACGAAATCGCGGAGTCGATAAGATTCGGCGCTGACAAAAGTTAAGAACTAGATATCCAGACGTGTCATAGCCTGTTTTAGTACGTGTTAATGTCTTGAAATTTAATTTATTTGTGATGTAGGCGGTGCCATGTGGGTAGTAATGTGTGTCAACAGTGAACTGTCACAGTCGCTTACACGCTGCTGCTACTGTAGGCACAAACGCAAGGACAAATATGCTTCTCTTTGCCCAGCCGCATGGAAGTGACGTCATCTTCCGGAAACCCTGGAAGCTAATCGAAACAATTCTAGATCAAACGCAATTTACCATGCAACGAGCTTACGGTTGTACGTGCAGGTCCATGAACAAACTAAATTATTGTTGAGTCTTAAATGCTTTCCCACGGCAGCTCCTCCATTGCACTCCATTACCTATAGTGGTGTATAATTCTAAAAGATTACATGTGTGTGCTGAAACGACGCCGTCGGATCAAGGATGCACACAAACACGTAAAATAATCATTCCTATCTTTGTAAATGCCATTCCTATCATTTCGCATGGCATTCCCGTCACTCATATTTTTTCTCACGTGTAATTAATGATTCTATACCACAATGCTCTTATTTCAGGAATACAAACATGGGCTTGGCATCGTACATTCTGTCCTACGGGGTAGCGCTTTTAGGCGTCGCAATTGTTGCCGCCTACTTTCATTTCACGCGTAACTTCGGCCACTGGAAGAGAAAAGGCATCAAGGAACTCAAACCCCTTCCCTTCGTGGGAAACCTGAAAGATGTCGCCTTCATAAAGAAGAACATCGGCATGGTGGCTTCTGCAATCTACGAGCAGCACAAGAAGGAACCGTTCATTGGCATATACGCGTTCGACGAACCAGTGCTCCAAGTCCACGACTTGGACCTCGTGAAAGCCGTGCTCGTCAAGGACTTTCAGTACTTTCCCGACAGAAGTGCACATGCAGATGAAGAATTGGATCCACTTCCTGCTCGAGGTCTCTTCCTTCAAAAGGGAGAACGGTGGAAGCACCAGAGGAACGCAATTACACCCTCTTTCACTTCGGGCAAAATGAAGCGGATGTATGAACTTGTAGCTGAATGCGGGAAGTTTCTGTTATTGGCCTTAAAAAGAGAGAATTTGGCAGGTAAAAGAAGACTTTATTTTCTTGAATACGTAGTACTATTTTAACATTACAAAAATACAAACCAAGATTTTGACAGAAATACACGCTTTGGGGTTCTCTGATATCGAACAATGTTTCTTATTCCAAAAATGTCTGTTCCTCCGTCTATGGATAACACAAGCCCTTAAAGAGTTGTGAGTATATTCTTCAAAACTGTTATTGACCGATCCATTTTAGCTATTTTCTCAAAAACTGTTACCAGTATTTATGTAAACTGAATTATATAATTTTATTAATGTAATAAACTAACAAATCAACAAATGTAAACAAAACCATTTCAGAGATATTTGGGTTAATTGTTCCACGAGCTTTCGAATGAACGCAAAAATGACATTATGGATTTTATTCTTATTAAAGTATTTTATGTATTCCTTTTCGTCAAATACACCTCCAAAATGCATCTCCAGAGAACTCAAACAATACAAATACCAAATGCATTTATAATGGTATTTCAAACACATTTAAATATTTCCCAACTCTGTTGACATTGAATGCCTGATGTGAAAAGCATGTTCTAAAAGCGATTTTCATTGTTTTTCAGGAAAGCCAGTGGAAGTATACGAACTTGCAGCTCGCTACACTACCGATGTTATTGCAACCTGTGCGTTTGGTATTAAAGGAAATAATTTGGAAGATCCCAAAGCAGAATTTCGTCGAATTCTGCGAGCAGTGTTCGAATTATCTCCAATTCAAGCAATAGCAATGGCAACAGCTTTTTTGGCCCCTAAACTAACCAAATTACTACGCCTCAAAGTAATCGATCATGAAGTGGATAGTTTTCTGAGAAGTACGATTCAACAAGTCATAAAAGAAAGAGAAAATAAAAACATTCAGCGAAATGACCTTCTGGACAGCTTGATTCAACTTATGAAATATGGCAAAATTTCTGAAGGAGAGGCAAATGGAGGGGACGAAGCTTCTAAGAAACTGGGTATGTACACCTGAAAATTTTATTACTCGTATTTGGTTATCTCAAGACATAATTTATTGAAGAAACGTTTATCAATAAGTAAAATGCTATTCGATTGTACTTTTCTTCTTATATATTTCTCGTATGAAATACTATAGAGACTGTAGATATTGTTGTTTCAAGTACGAAGTCTATAAGTTTGAAAATATTTTAATTTTCTTACGATTATGTACACTTATGTGTCGCAAAGATATTTAGAGGATATTGTATGACTTGCAATTTCAATTTTCGGATTACGTCACTAGGTCCCTATGAGAACTTGTCTCCCCTTAAGAATCAGAGAAAGGTTCAAAGTGTTATGTAATATCTCTATAGTATTTTCTTAGTCTAAGTTATTCTGTATTGAGATGAGTCATGTCATGACAGTGACATTTTTTAAAAATAAATTAATTAAATACTTTATTTAAATTATTTTAACACTTTATAAATTATATGTTAATATATTAAAACTCTATGGTCAAGTAACTTTTTACACGTATTTCATTGAAATTCAAAGAAAGAATCGGAAAATTTAATACTGAAAATTTCCTTTCTGGATCTCATTAATAAAATAATTATCTTTATAGAAAACTACTGGCTAAGTAAACCACTGGCGCCTTCTTCAGGGAATGCATAGCGTACTTAAAGTTCTATTTTTATCACTAGTGCTAAAAGTGAGGCGCCGCTCAGATAATTCTGTGTATGCAATAAAGAAAACAAATTACTTTCGTCCGACAGCATTAAAAACGATATCTTAATGTATATTAAGTGATTTGTATAAGTCTTGAGTTGAAGTAAAATAAGAGTTAGTAAGGCTATCAAAAATAGTGTATAACACTTGGTAAAAGTGATTTTAAATTGCAGGTGGATTATGACACTCGGCCTATTGGCCTCGTGTCTCAACCTTTCCTACGTGCAAAATAAAATGTCACTTTTACCACTCCTATCATAAATCACTATTCTGGAAAACAAACTAATATCCTTTCTTACCCTATGTAACGAAATACTTCCGGGGTGACATGATGGGGGACAAGAGGCCCAAATCTATAGCTGATTTGCCGTTGAACATTGATTTTATTAACTCGGGACGAATTTTTGTTTTAACAATTTTGCCAAAATCGCTCACTTACTTTCGTATTCAGAATTTAATTTGTATATGATTTAGGGTAGGGAACCCAGATTAAGAAAACGCGCCCAGAATTCACTTCTCCCAGTTTCAAGTCACACACGTTACGTTTGTGACGTAAAATAAATTATCAATGAAATTATTGCCTTTTGAAGGGTCTGAACTATGTACATACTAACTTGGAATGTCTTTCCAGCTTTTGATGAGCGGGATGTGTGTGGTCAAGCGTTTGCGTTTTTAACGGCGGGGTTTGAGACTTCAGCCACTACCATCAGCTACGCTCTCTTCGAGATTGCCCAGCACAAAGACGTGCAAGACAAACTACGCAAGGAGCTTCAGAACGCAACGAGCGACGGGGAGTTCTCCTACGAGACACTCCATGGATTGAAATATCTGGACATGGTGATGCAAGGCAAGTTAACACGGAACTTTATATAATACTTTTCATATTGCAATTGGCGACCTCCTAGTACCAACATCTCAACACAATTTTTTACCATCAGATTACACCTTCTTACATCTTAGTATATATCTTACATCTCAGTAACCAGTAGTTTAACGAAATGAGTGCGGGTCCGCAGCAAACCTTTTATCGCATGGCAATACAAATAGTGTTAGTACCTTAAATAAAAATATCCCCTAAAAGCGGGTATTTGTTTACCTGGGCACGCCCGCGTTGAGGGCCCGAACGTTTCGCCACTGTCAGTAACATTTTGTAATGTTTTAAACTTATTCCGCTCATCTCTTTTCCGATATTATCGATGTCTTATTTTCATTAAACTATTAAAAGTCGCCATTTTGAAAAAAAAACATTTTAAAATGTCCGGTATTTTTGATAAAATACAAATTTATCAATACCACAAGAGATAACTAAATCATTAAGTTAACTGCGACAATCTGCAATTGTTTTCTATGTCTTCTTATCTTTAATTATGAGAAAACTGTTTATCTAAGTAAAATCTCTGTTCCTCAAGACAGTAAAAACAATTTGGCCCTTACTGGTCTAATTTTTGATTGAAAGAAGTTTAAATTAGTACAGGCTCTTATGGAAAAACTTTCGTGGGCAATTTTTTAAGAAAGTTATACGGTTAATGTACCTTTTTCTTTTACTCAATTCGCAATCATGTTTTAACTATCTGATGATATTAAATGGTATATAACATACCTCACCGGGGATTCTGAAGAGTAATTTATAAAACACTGCTACGAAATTCATCGCAAACGGAAGTACTGGTTCATTCTTTCACATATAGTGTAATTGTAGCACCATTTACTCATTTCTAGACCGTAGGAATTAATGGAATTGCATATTTTTACTGACTGCGCATACATTAATTAGAAAATTAATATTACTCTATCTACCACCAAACATTTTAAAATGTTTTTAGTGCACGATTGCGTCCATAATTTTAACATTTTTAGTGTATGATGATTCGGGGTCTACTCCGTGACAAACAGAATTTGGAGCGAAAACTAAATATTTCCAAGAAAATATTCACATAAAATATGACTATTATAACTCCGTTTAATAAAGGTAAATCATGTCACAACAATGAGACGTAATTCACAGGACGTCGCGTTCGCGACGCTGAATTCTATTGTTACATTCCCTGCATTTTCGATATTCCCTGAAAGCTTTTTTTTAAATATTTTATTTTGCAATTTGTTTAGTTATAAACATTTGGCAAAATTACACACAATTTTTAATAGCATGAGAGGAGTAAGGTCCATTGACCGTACTCCTAATACTACATTTTTTCAGATTAACAACAATTTATACTCGATATGTCAGGTCTAAAGTATGTTTAAGTCGTCCGGTGGTGTCACTATCAAGCTAGCAATTTTAATTTCATAAATTTCAAATAAGTTTTAACTAATTTCTAAACTATTAATGTTTCAATTTTTAACAAAATGTTGAATGTAGGAAATGAACAAGCAATATTAATTAATGTACAAATTTTGACATACGAAGCATCTAACTGTGTACAATCACGAAATGCAGTAAAATCACAGGGGGCATTCAATTTTATCACCCATTTACACAAAAATACTCATATTTTTTAAAAATTGAACATGACCTTACTTAAATATCTATTTTAGATAAACACATTTTAATTAACAAAAAAGTGTGTTTTCACAATTGTAACTTATGAGAAGACGCCGAAAACTAAGAGCAGTCAATTCGAGTGGGCTATTACATTTGTCGGGAAATTGCTCAAAAATACTAATGTTTTCAAAACATTCAACCTGTCATTATTTAAAGATAATCTTTTTTGTATATAAAGAGATATGCTTTTTATGAACACATTTCATTAAGAAAAAATTGTAGATGTAGTTGTAGGAAGATTCTGACATGTTAATTTTGTTTTAACTTTTCAAAATTACGCATTTTAATGAACATGAGACTTGCACCATTCTTTTCAGCGTTTTTTACTGTATCTAAGTTCCATATTTAATAAAAAATGTAGTGCAATTTTTAAGACAAAGTGATTTTAAAAAAATAAAGATTGCCTACGTTAGACACAAAATTTTGCAAAAAATATTTTTTTGAAAAATTGAACAAAGCTTCGTTCAATATCTGTATATGATGAGCACATTTCACAATGAAAAAATGCATCTTCATAATTGCAGTTGTAAAAAAACGCTGAAAACATTTGAATGTTTTTCAATTTTCGAAACATCAGGGTACTCAACCAACACGAGACCTACACCATTTTCTTAAGGGGAGCCGGAATAGCCTAATTCGCCAATGTTAATGTAAGGAACATTTTTTCGGAAACTATTTTATTTGCATACTTGAAATTTTGTGTGTGTCGTTTCATTATTTATAAGTATTTTAACGAAGCCAATTTTTTAAAATGTGGCTACTTTTTAAAATATAATTTTTTGCCTATTGTAATAGTTCTTTTCTTAAAAACGGTAACATTTATAAGAATATTGTGTAAATCATTTAAAATTATCATATAAAAATCATATAAAAATCATCAAATATCAAATAAAAATCATATAAATCCTCCCCGTTAAAGTATATAAACTGGTGTAATACTTGCTCTGTTGAAATTTGAACATCCTCCAATTAGTAGTTTTTGAGAAAATGTTTCCTCAAAATTACAATTTTAAACTCATGGGAAATGACTCTTAAAGTTTTCAGTGTATTCGTGGTCCTTATGATGGGCAAACATTCACATCGATATTTTGACCTTCACCCCTCAATTGTTACCATAAACAATGTCCAACACTAACAACCTAGCTATTAACTACTTTTCACAACGGAAGCTGAAAAGAAACATCCACAATGTTTCAAAACGGCCACGCCCACTTCCATGCTATATAAACTTCAAAATTTTTAAAAAGTAATAGAGATTACATATTATGATAAAAATTGGATTATTTAACACAAAAAACTGTAAATTAATTATTTATTGAAAAAAGTATAAAAATATTTATAATTTTGGCTCATTCTGGCCCCCCAAAATTCCTTGAGACTATCCACCAACATTTCATCAAAAACAATGGACCGGTTTTTTTCTTTTCTTTTTTTTTACAAAATAATATTTTTACAAAATTTTAAAACTGCCAATATTTCACGCAAAATAAGGCGAGAAATATTCGATGCTTTGAAAAATTAAGCATGTCCTTATTTCAAAATCTATCAATAACGATCAGATTTTATTAAGAAAAAATATCTTAAATATTTTAGTTGTAGAAAGACACCGAAAATTTTTGAATTTTTGTCAATTTTCAAAAAACCAAAAATATGAACCAACATATGATCCACACCAATCTCTTAAAGATCGTTCAGACTATCTACGAACAAAATTTAATCAAAATCGATGGCGCCATTTTTTTAATTTTG